TTCACCTACACGGTCTGGCGGCAATTACAGTGTAAAGTTACGAGCCGGGACGTACAATGCCGGTTGCACGCTGCGACTGAACAATTTGACCCTATTCCACTTTGATATCCGTATATGCAGCCAACGGCACTCGCTTTCTCTCTCTCTCTCTCTCTCTCTCTCTCGCTCGCTCCATCATAAAGCTTCGACTTGTTCCGCCAACACGCGAACAGCTCCGCTTCGATTTACGACCGCGAATCGGCAAGAAGCCGCTCAGCGGTCCTCACGTGCTAGACGCTGGCGCGCGCTCGAGCTCCGGCGCCAAAAATGGTTAATCGATTTGCCTCATTAGGAAAGCGGCGTGTTAAGTGGCACTCGACTTAATCGCGCCGGTACGTTCGACCCTTTCGGGCTAACGAACGAGTAGCGGAAGTCATTACGGCGAGGAGGAGAAACTTCTGTGACTCGAGTCCGCCCGCGAGTTATTGTATTCTTGCGAGTGTGCTCTAAGTGTTGTACTGCAAGAGCGCGGGGCGGGGGGGGGGGGACGAGAGGACTAGAGGAGACTCCGCTCACGTTCGGTCGTCGGGCGATCGCGTGTTGCCGGATTCTCGGCGGCGCAGGGCGATCGAATATCACGAAGTCATAAAGAGCCGCACGGAGGAGAGGGGGAAGGTAATACGAGGAGGATCCGACGCGATTTTTCGGCGCAGTCAGTCGGCCCGCATTCCATGCCGGGCGCGTGCGTTATTTCGTCATTTCGTCATTTACGTTTCCGCGCCGGCCGTCGCACGGCATGCGCTCTTATAATCGCGATCTCAAATTACCGTGGAAATTAGGGCTAGTTAACTTTGGGACGCGCGCACTCGTATAACGCCGCGCTCGTCGTTTGGGTGTTTAATCGAAGCTGTTTGAATTATTATTTTTTATCCCGAATGACTTTTTGCGCCGATAAATTTCATACGACCGTATTTCTCTTTTTCCCGACCTGTGAAATTAAACAATTCCGGCCGGGACTACGCCTCTCTGTCTGTCTCTCTCCCTCCCTCCCTTCCTCCCTCGCAACGAAACTAAATTTATAGAGAATTAAAAAATATGGATTCCCTTGCCAAATGTTTTTTTATTAATTTCCACCGTTGCGAAGATAAATTTCAGAAAACGTCCGTTTTTCCCGACAAATCATTCGCGCTCTCGCATGGCTCTCCCCGGGAAAATGACACTCGCGGCCGCGTGTCTTCGTTCCGTAACTTCAATAACTTTCGGCATTTACTCGCGCTCGCGATCAGACTCCCGGATGATGAATATTCGTTTTAATTACGGAGCACGCGCGCGCGCGCGCGCGATTTCCCACACATCGCAGCGCACGCTAAATCCGCAAAGTGCGGCGATAGAACGGGCCGCGGCGATACGCGGAGCTCCCTTGTATTTTCAACGCGACTAAAACTAGTCGCGAGTCAACTAGCCGGCGTCGATAACGAAACGTCAAACTTTTAATATCCTATCCATCGGGGGACGTCAGCACACAGCCGCGTGCTCGCGCGCGCGCGATGGCCTCGGTATTGATTATTCCGCATTATGGGGATATCATATCCGTTCGTTAAAAATGACGTGAAAAGAACAAGTAGTATATCGGCTTGCTGCCGCCGCCGCCGCCGCCGCTGCTTCGAGAGCGAGCCACTCGGGCGTGGGAATGAAAATAAAAGTATGTATTATCGAGCACGGCGGCCCCGGTGCCTCTATCGGGGCGGCGGAGTAAAAGCTCGAATAATGGAGGGAATGAAAGTAAATAAAGATCGGTGGAGGACACGCGGGGATGAAAGTATACGCGCGGCCGACGAAAATCGAGGCTGACGAACGGCCATAAAGGTTCTTGAGAATTATCGGCGGTAATCCACCGGCAAAAAAATACAGCCCCGATCCTCGCCGGCGCCGACGCCGCGCGAGCGCGACCGGGGGTGCGCTCTTTCTCTGCATCAGTCGTTATTTATATCCGACACGTTTTATGCCTGCGCGCCTCCTTCCCACCGAGCGTATCCTTCCATCGGCGAATCAACGGACCCGAAAATGAAGGCGAAAATGTCGCCGGGGTCGAAATTTTGCTCTCTCGCGTCGAGTCTGCGTCGAATCGTCGAACTCTCGCAGGATCGACGGAGAAACTCGAAGTATATGCACTGTGTAGGAGGACACTGTCCTATTTGGATACCAAATATGGCTGCTTGCTTTCTCCGTATCAAGACGCGAAGGCGGACTTGAGATAGCTTAGAGCGCTTCTAAGAGCCGCTCCGGAGGACCTGCAGGTCCTGAACTGTAAATATCCTCGGGAAACGAGTATTTGGAATTGTTTGATGGTCCTATTATATACTCATCTCAGTATTCTATATCAGTGTCAAATTTTTATCCGTAATCGCGAGAAGCGATCGATTATGTAGCTCGCTCGACGCACGGTGGAATATACGCGATAAGCAAATGTTCAACAATTAATGTAGGAATATAGCGGGGTGTAAACGGGGACTGAAAAATCTTCATCTTCATCTTCAAAATGTTCTTATCTTGCGTTGTATTTCCTCCTCACCGGCGTTGCCGGTAATTTCGATAGGATCGGAGATGAGCCGGCCCAAAGGTCCGGAATTTTGACAGCTGATCTCGGAGGTTGATTACGGTCGCTCTACCGACGATGGCGCGCGCCAGTCATTGGCTGACGACAACAGTCGCCGATTGGTGCGCGATATATTTTTGCCCTTCTCCGGAGTAGCAATTGTCTTGGTACTCCCGTACGTATTTCCGTGACCGAGTGCGATATTGCCGAGTCTCGAGCCGGCGAGCGACGTGCACGGACCTGGTTATCATCCCGATCGACTTCCTGAACGTTTAATCTGGCTTCTTCGGCTTCGCGTTACTCGATGCTCGCGTCTCGCGCCGAATCGCTCGATCCCGCGCGAGTGTCAGCCGGAAGTGCCGCGAGGAGCAGCCAGGGTGTCAGGACGCACAAGCCGGAACCGGGACACCGAACTGGGGGACGTCAGGACGCAGGACGCAGGACGCACGTCGGGAAGCCGGCAGCGATACATTATATATTTCCAAGTACGTGAAATCGTTTATACGGCGCGTTATACGCGGCGGGTTTCCGAACTGTGAACGGACCTTTGACGAGAATAAAGAGATGCTTGAGTCGAAATTTAGGCCGGCATTCATAGGTCGTCAGCGCCCGACAAGCAATTACAGCTCGGTGAGTTGTTGATTACTCTCTCGTCAATCCGAACTCGCACTTATTTCGCAAACGAGAAACTTTGGCCCAAACGGAAAGCGGAACAACGGCCGAGGAATACAAAGTTGGGATTAATTTCGCCCGCCGCATCGAGAACGACGCATAATTTCCGCGATTTACACGAAACGCACGAATTAATTTACTATGAATATCGGCCTTAAAATTTACCATGAATATTGCAAATGTTGAGCGTCGCGTGTCCAATAACACTCCTCGCCCTGTGACCTTGTTTACATGCCCTAACGCTTTCTTCTTGTCTCCCTTGGGCGCTTTGTTCACACGCGGAATCGAAATTTAAATCTGTACGCGGGAACAGCGTTATTGGACACGCGTAATTGTTATCCTTGCCTTTGCAGCTTTGTAGATCAGCTCTTTTAAGAGCTTGATACCGACCCCCCATTGCGCTTTCGAGAAGAAAAGAAATTATGAAAATATGAAAATGTGTTGTATCGATCCCTTTCCCTCGTTAGTTTTTATTCAATTGTTTGATATTTGCTTCTCGCCAATTTATTATTGATTACCAGTTGTACATATTATTATCACTGGCCATGTTATACTATCAATGTATTGCTTATCGAGATTGAAGATAAAAATAAGATGAAACATCGCGAGGGTAATCGAATATTAAGTAATTCCGAAATTACTGCTTTTTCAAGTCTCAGTATTATTATTTATTATTAGTTGTAATGTTAATCACTGGCCATGTTACGCTATTAATGCATTGCTTATCGAAATTGAAGATAAAAATTGGAAATTGGGGATAAAACATCGCGAGACGATCGAATATTAAGTAATTCCGAAATGAGCGCTTCTCCTCAAGCCTCAGCATAGGAAAGAAGTCGCAGTAAGTAGCCATTTGTAACGTAAAAGGCACAAGAATCTACATAATGTTACATCTCGAGATTCGCCATTGATCCTTCAAGTTCGACGGAACTTGCGGGATTAATGCGGAGTCCAAATTTCGACTCGGGAAATTGCGCGTTCGTGCAGTTATTAAGATTCCGAAACAATTTGCGCATAACGAGCGACGTGTTTCCATGTTGACCTCTTCGGAGGCAGAAACGTAGCGAAGAAAAAAAAAGAAAAATAAGGAGTAGAGATTCTTCGCTAGAGGAAGAAGAAAAACGCTTTCTTTCCCAACGATATCCCGCGCGCTAATGCGTGTCAGATCGGATTTGCCACAAGTTGAAAGAAAAGCCGAGTATTGATCCAGCCTTTTCCACTGTTTTCTTACGCACAATAATAAAAGCAAATTCTCGTTTCTCGTGGACGCGACTGCTTTTTATAGCGTCAAAGACTTCAAAAAGGTATTGCGCACTTCAACCGTACAATTCATCTTTTATGTTCACGCATACGTATTTTTGAATGTAATTAATCGAGGCGCCTGGCGTATAGAAAAAAAAGCGCCGGCTCTCCCTCCCTCCCACCCCCCCTCTCTCTCTCTCTCTCTCTCTCTCTCTCTCTCTCTCTCTCTCTCTCTATCCCCCCCCCAATCCGGTATAGATTATATAACAAACAAGCAGCGATCGAAGGTGTTCCGCCGGCTGGCATTTTTCACCTCTTCGTTCCTCTCTCTCTATCTTCTGTTCGTTTTGTTTTCGTGCTTCTCAGTCAGCCAGGCGCGAGCGCAAATCGCTTGCAAAAAATGGCCTTAATGCTTCGCATCGTGTTTTAAAATTAAACTAAGGTTAACGAACCGATCGCAGGCGCGCGCGTGCGCGACGCTCGCTTGATTTAATCTTCCCGATTTACTCACGCTCCAAGTGGCCTTTGTCCTGCAAGACGGTCTAGCTGAAAAGAGAAAAGAGAAGGAGGAAAAGATGAGAATAAATAAATGACATATATGTACGATATACACACATACACACACACACACACACACACACACACACGTCGCACGTTGAAAACAGCGCGGACGAGCGATCGCGTTGTTGCGCACAGTCTGCTGATTAAGGCTGGCAACACTTTTCCGCGATGAGTTTCGCAACGTGTATCCACCATCACCCCTATCACCTCCTCCTCCGCATCCCCAGCACAGAGGCATTTTGCTTTTCCTGTAATTCTCGACGGATCCATTTCCTCATGCACGCAGTGTGTTGCAACACACTCGTCCGCAAGAAAAGTGTTGCAGCCGTTAATCAGCCGACTGTGCAAACGCGCCGGCAAACGTGATATAAACGTATTAAAGCCATACGTACACACGCACGCACGCACGCACGCACGCACGCACGCACGTACGCACGCACGCACGCACGCACGCACGCACGCACGCACGCACGCACGCACGCACGCACGCACGCACGCACACGCATACGGCGGAACGAGCGCTCGCGCGCGATCATCATGCGAGAAAGGCCGCGGCCGCGTGGTTTTGAATAAGAGTCCGAAGGAAAAGTTTTCCGCGCGCGATTTTTCGATATCCAATTTCCAGCCAGGTAGCACTTGGCCCGAACAAAGAACGTCATTCACTCGACGTATATGCGCGCACGTCGAGTCGTGATTTTTCTGAAATAAAGCAAACGCGCGGGGAAAAAAGCGGGAAGCCACACGCGCGGGCCGGGCTGGGCCGAGCCGGGGAGGGGGCGGGGGTAGATTGTCACTTAACCCGCGGTGCTTTTTTTTTTACTCCGAAATTGAATTGGTGCGGGACAAACGGAAACGAAATAAACTGGCCTCACTTTCACGCTCGGCCGCGGATGTTGCGGCGTTGTTTACAAAATAAATAATACCACGTACGTATATGTGTGTGTGCGGGCGCGCGCGCGCGCGCGCGCGTGGACGGCTCCCGGCGTGACTGGGCGCTTTTGCAACGAAAAAGCTCGCTTTTCTGATTTTTGCAGTTTTTTTCGTCGATCGAGTCCGGCCAACGATCGATTTCGTGCGACCGACCGACCGAGCGACCGAGCGACCGAGCGTGCACGCGCGCGCGCGCGCGTGCGGCGGCGGTTCTTTTATTTACAGCGTGAATTTTTATTTTTTAGAACCGACAAATAAACCTTGTAATACGCAATCTAAACGCGCGGTGGAGTGATTTTTTTTCCGGGAGAGCGGGAGAGCGGGCGACCGGGGGAGGAAGAAGGGGCTACCGACGGGTCGAAATTTGCGCGCGCTCGCGGCGCGGCGGGCATCAATTGAACGCTAATTAAAACTCGGGACGTGTGTAATCGCGCGCGCCTCTCGCATTCCGGGCCCGTACAAACGCGGGGAAAAAAGTTATAATACGCGTCTCGATATTTTCCATTAGTAGCCACCGTTTCATCGCGCTTCGCGCGCGCGCGCGCGCTCTCGCCTCTAAAGAAGAACGGCGCGTGTCGCCTCGCGGTGGCCGCGAGGTAATCTCGATGGCGCTGGCGACTGGACTGCAAGGATCACGGCGCGCGCGATCTTCGGGTAAGATAAAAAGCGCGGGCGCCGGGGAGAATTAACGGTACTCGTAGCTCTTGTATACGCGAGATCTCGTCTTAGGCTTATCTCACACGGAGAGAGAGGGAAGGCTCGGGTCGAGTCGACGTGGCGATGCGAACGCGAGCCCCTGTTTCGGAATTTGATTCGTAAGAAGTCGAGGACGCTACCCGCAATGAAAAACTGCACCATCGCATCAACGCGAGCGGCCATTTTTTCCGAGGATGGGCCGAAATCTCGGATCTCGGAAACATCAGCCGAGCGTGAACGCCGGGCTCGCAGACTCGATCGAGCTCGCGAATTCGCCGCGTAACGGCAGCCGGGCTCGATGACGAGAGAGAGAGAGAGAGAGAGAGACAGTCTCGCTTTGATTTCCGCGAGAGTACGCGCGGCGCCGCGAAAAGCGGGCGAAATATACCCGCGATAGGATAAGCAGCGACTACGAGTGTACAATGGTGGCGCTGGGAACCCGGAGGGGTGTCGAATCGAAGTAAGAGAGAATCGCCCAAAGCAATCCGAACCCCTGCCGAACCCGTGTAACAGATTCACTTACCTATTCGCCCCTACGTTTCCAACCTCGCTTTACCCTTCGGAATCCTTCGCGAGTTACGAGGCACGTCAGTGACGCTCAAATTGGCTCGCTCCTGCGCTCGCGCTGCTCGTCATCGCCGCATGTTCGCGCGACATGCCGCAGGAAAGTCGCAGGATCACGTCACTCGACCGAGTGTCTCGTTTGCGAGCTAATCGTCCATGTTGGCTCGCGATCGCCCGTCATCGATCGCAATTGTCGCAATTGTTGCATTAAATTCCGGCCGGACTCCTTCCGTTTGGAAACTGACTCGCGTGATTTTGCGCGAGTCCTGCGCGCTCCCGAGTGGTCGGTGTGAGCTCTCTCTAGCAAAAATTGCTAAAATATCGCACACGCGATTATCGCATCGTGGGAAATCGCGCTTGGAGTCGAGGGGACTCTCGTTCCTCCGTAACGAGTTGATCTGAAAGTTGTTTTACGGGGAAATAAGACTGCGGGGATGGAGCGTAAGGGGCCTCCTCTCCAACAGGATGTTTTATTCAAAAGGGTTGACGCGAAAACGCGTGGAAAGGGAACGCTGGCTGCGCGGAAAAAACTGCGAACCACTGTCGTAGACGCGTCAAAGGAGACAGGCAGGTGCGAGAGGCGGCACGGCGACGGTGAATGAAGGTGATGGTGATGGTGAGATAGCGTGAAGATGGTGAAGATAGCATGATGGAATAGCCGAGCCTCGCAATGCGTGAATCGGGCGCGGCTTCGGGATGTAGCTCGTAGCGCGATGCGTGTAACGAGAATGCAGCCTCTGTATTCCAATGGATGCGGAAGGATCAGGACGGAGACAGAGAGAGAGAGAGAGAGAGGGAGAGAGAGAGAGAGAGAGAGAGAGAGAGACACAAAGAGAGATAAAGAGAGGGACAAAGAGTAGATGGAAGATGGAAAGATAGAAGAACGAGACAAAGGACGAGGTACAAAGTGAGAGAAATAGGGAAAGAAAGGGAGGCAGAAGCGGAACGTTCCGCGGGTGAGAAGCGATGGAACCGGCAGGGAAAACAATCCACGTACGAAGTGAGAATGTCAGAGATAGGAAGGAACGGGGAGAGATGAGATGAGAGCGACTGTGTATACGCGCGCTTTGCAGCGTGCGTTTCCGCAGCGCGAAAGCACGAGGGGAGCGAGAAGCATAGAGACAGGGAGGGAGAGAGAGAGAGTGGAGGGAGAGCGCATGTGGGAGGAAGGAGGAAGTCGCGAGACGATATGAAAGTAAGCAAAGATGCGGTGAGATAGAGCGAAATACGATGTGAGGGCGAGAGACAGAGACACGGCTGCGGAGCTGATGCGTGTAAGGAGCGAAAGAGCGAAAGGGCTGTAAGGGAGCCCCTTCGAGAATGAGAAGGCCAGAGGGAGAAAGAGAGGTGTATCTCGCGTGGGCGACGCAGCGGATAGAACGGAATGAGAAAGAGCGAGAAGCGTGGTAAGAGAGCAGCTTGTGTGCGTGTGTGAGTGTGTTTGTGTGCGAGAGGGGGCAGAGAGAGAGAGAGAGAGAGAGAGAGAGAGGAGGGGGGGTATTCGACCCTCTATAGGGAAATATCCATAATGCGCATTTGCAATTTCAATGCCTCGCCGAACCCCGCCAAGTTGCCGAAGCGCAGCCAGCAGCCTCAACCCTTCGTGCCAATCCGGAGCATCGCGGTTCTTCCCTCGTTCGCCACCCCTACCACCCTCCTTCCCTTCACCACCACCACCGCCACCACCAGCACCACCACCTCCACCGTCTTTCCCACCCCGGGTTTCCGCGCCCTCCTCCTGCTTCCTCTATCGCCTCCATCGCAGAATCCCATAACGCCTCGAGCAACCTCTTATGTGCAACAACCCAATCCACATACTTGAACGCGCCGCGCTTCCCCAGCCGCGCGATCAAATAGATTCCACCCGTGTTGTCTTTGGATTTTTGTTTCCCGATTTTTTCGCGATTGTCAAACGTCGTTTCGCCTGCTTTATCGCGCCGCGCTCCGCGGCCGCGGCTCCCCGGCGGCGGTCAAGCGAACACGCTGCGAGCACGGGGTACGGTAACAACGACGACGCCGCTCGTCCGCGTAATCCTCCAATCGCCGGTATCCCCGAATCCTTTAACGACGAATTCGCCGGCGAGAGACCGAAGGAGCCGAGCCACTTAGCACGGGGGAAGTTTACGAGCCGAATGTGCACGCGAATTATCGTAACGCTCCGTGCGCCCCGCGGCGATAATAATAACTATAACAATCTCTCGCCGGTGCTCGCGGGAGCGCGCTAGTAGTCGCAATTGTTGCGAGCTGCTAACATCGTACGGCGCGAATTTTCCCGGGCGCCGCATCGAGCCAAACTGTGAGAACTCAAGGGGACGGGCGGCCTGCCGCGACTCCCGGCATTGTTCGCCGCTGCGCGCTGTTCGACGCGTCGCGATCAACGACTGGCGGGACCTGGAGTAGCCGGCGCGCGGGCGATAATTGATGAGCGCCACGGAGGAGGGGAAACCGCGAGAGGGTCCGTCGCGAAGCGTCATCGAAATTAGACGTGCGCGCGCGCGCGACAGAAGACAGAAGGGGACGGATCGAGTCGCCGAGAGCAGACAGACCGACGGACGGACGGACGGACGGACAGGCACAGCCAGGTAGCCGCGCAGGAGAGGCATGAGACCACTTCGCCAAGTGGCACGTAACACGCGCCTTGGCCATTTCGTATGGCCGGGCAGCGGGAGGTCGATAAATCTGACGTCGATTGAAATATTGCCTTCTTCGATATCCCTCGCGGCACCGATTCCGACTCCACGCTCCCACGTCTCGGCTTCCCTCTCTCCCCCTGCCCCCTCCCTGCCTTCGCTCTGACCCCCCCTCGGCCTTGGCTGACGCTCCGCTCTCTTGTTCGTCTCGCACCCTCCTCCGTCTTTCCAGCCTTTTCCTCTCCCTCTATATTTCCTCCTTTATCCTCGCTCGCGCACCCTCGCTCTCTCTCTCTCTCTCTCTCTCTCTTCCCCCCCCCTCTCTCTCTCTCTCTCTCTTTATCATCTGTCCCCTACGCCGATTCGTTCGCGTATTCTCTTGCTCGGTTTCTCTATCTATCATGTTCCCGCGCGCGCGTTCCTATATCTTCCTCTCTTTTCTCTCTTTGCCGTCCTTTCATGTAGCCCGCGAAAAACGCATACGACAGGACGAGAAAGGAGAAAATAAATTCCAGGGGCGAAAAGTAACGACCGCGATATGAAGCTCGGTGAATTTCATTCTCTCGCCTCTTACGCTAACTCTCCTCCGGCCGTCTCTACGCTGCCGCCGCCGTCGCGCAACTCTCTCTCGCTCTCTTTCTCTCTCTCTCTCTCTCTTTCTCTCTCTCTCTTTCCTCCCGGCCGTCTCTCCTCCTCCTCTTCCTCCTCCTCCATTTCGCGAGTAGCTGTCGATACATTCATCGTCGAATATTTATTAGCCGCTGTTTATCACGGTGCGCGCATGATACTAAAAACACGCATGACCGCACGCTCTTGGGATCACGCCAGGATATTGTCTAGCCGCAAATCCAATTATTCGGCTAACGAAGTAGATAATGCGATAAAACCTTTCAAGACACTGGTCCCTGCGTATAATATGCAAATGCAACCTCTACTCGCTCGCGCGCGCGCGAGCGAGCCCGACGCAAGCCATTTATCTTCCTCTCTTAAAGTTTTTGCAAAGAGGAATTTTTCGCTGTTAATTGGGAGATTAAAATTCGCGAAGACTACTTAACTTAAGAGAAGCCGCGGGAAGAGTCGCCCCTCCCCGCCCCCCCCCATCTCGCGCGCTTCGGCCGATTATCCTCGAGACTCGCTTGTAATATTCATAACGGTTTGTTCGTAACTTTAATTACCGAAAAGTCACCATTTTCGTCGTTGGTTCGTTCGTTGCTTAAATATTAACGGCTCAACATGCGCGCGCGCGCGAATCGTTTCACCCACGGCGGGATTAACGCCGGCGACGACGGAGGACGGCGCCGAAATGGCAAACCGCCGCTCTTCTCGAACAATCGGCCGGGCGCGATTTATTTCGGCGGAATATTTACGGAATATTTTTCACCCGCGCCGCGCCGCCGCGGATTCCGCCCGCGCGGCCCGCGACGCCGCAGCTGCCGCGATTCGTAACTAATTGTATCCCGCGCGTCTCGCCACCGCGAACACGTGCCACTAATTAGCTTTTATGCCATAGAGCAGCTATATTTTATGGCCCCGGTAATTCCGACGCGAATTTTCAGCACTAATTACCGCGCGAGGCGGCACAAATCCGCAATTGTGTCTGATTACATACGGTAAGGTTCCCCCTTCAGCCTCGTCCCGCGCGCGCGCGCGTGTGTGTGTGTGTGTGTGTGCGTGCGTGTGTGCGGAGATACGCGTGTCCTCGTTACGCAATTGTTCGTAATTGGTACGCCCTCTAATCGCTTACATTTTCCGGATCAGATCGATTCACCGGCACGCGGGGCGACACTCTTACCCCCCCCCGCTCCCACCCCACCGGCGTCTCCCTCGCCGCGACGGCGCGCGAAAATACAACGCACCTTCGGCCGGCGAGTTTAGATCTCGCGCGGATCGGGGTTGAACTCGTTTGAACGGCGAGCGCGAAGCGCGCTCGCGTGACCAGCTATTGATTACTCAAGCCTAACCGGGATTTCTCGAGAACGGGAGCGGCTTAGCCGGGCATTTTCTTTCCCCAACTAATTAACTTGGACCGCTCGCGCCAGCACGCCAGCGCGCCGGCTCCGCCGCGCCGCGCGTACGCTTTGCCGCGCGACCCTTCCTTCGATTTGCGCAAATTGCGCGATTTGCAAGCGCGGCGGGGGAATTAAGTATGTAGATCGCGCGTGGAGACTCGACAAACGTGCAGCTGCACGTTTGTCGGAGATTCTACCTACCTGCCGAGCCGCCTACATACGCAGCTGCCTATCCGCACGCCTCTAGAATCGCCTCTAGAATCGCCTCTAGAATCGCCAGCGGCGGCGGTCTCATCGGAGCCCGATCGATGGGGAAGAGTTATTAACGGCTCTCTCTCTCTCTCTCTCTCTCTCTCTCTCTCTCTCTCTCTCTCTCTCTCTCTCTCTCTCTCTCTCTTTCTCTTTCTCCCTCCGGCCGACTCGGCGCGCGACTACAAACTCGTCGCCGAGGAAGTTAAAACATCGCGGTTACTACGCACGATTGATAATGGAAACGTTATTAATTGCTTCGCCGTCGTCGAGCCGTCGACGTTCGGGCTTACCATATGGCACTGATTAATTACTCTGACCGATATCGGGAGAACCGTATTCGCCCCGCCGTGTACTTTGCCGAGCGGGATTAAGTTCGCAGTGCCAATAGCGTCGTACAAATTGCTCGTCCTTGCCGGGGACGCTTGCGCGCTCGCTGTTTTACCTTTAATTGCTCCGCTACCCGTGCCCCGCTATTTATTCGGGGATAAGAACTCGAACGGAGCCGTGCCCCCCGCCCCCCCCGCCCCAGCGCCCACCTCTGCCCGCGTTTCGCGAAAGCGACGCGAAGCTATTATCGAGGTCCGCGTCGCGCACGTCTGTGACAAGTAAACCTCGGGAAACGTCGGACGCCGATTTGTTTCCAATTTTTCATAGTTATTTTTAATGTCAAAATGTAAAGAAATCTGTTATCATTTTTAGCCTAAATTAATTCTCTCAATTTTTTCGAAATTTCTCAAGTTTTCTGTTCATTCTGTTTTCGTTCGTTTCTTGTTCACTTTTTTACCAGATTTTGACGTTGAAATGGG